GTGACATAAAAATTTATTAAAAAGAAATCTGGACTTGCATGCTTCCTTATTGGTCCTAAACCAATATTGATGATCCATTCCTTAACCTCTCTCAAGCGCATAACAAGGACAAACCAAAGGCTGATGGTAACTCATTTTTGAACCAGAAGATAACTCTCACAATCCACCCCCTCTCCTCCCAACAGATCACGCATGCAAGGAGAGGAAAACCACTTTGAGCCCTTGTCGTCTTTGGCCAGAAAAACTACACAAAGTTCCTCCACCTTTCCCTCATCTTTGTGCGCTATGTGTGGGGTCTAAACCATAAACAGAATTGTTACTCACTCATCTACTTCTTATCACTCCTCTTGTACGCTTTCTAAGGTGAGGAGTCAAACAGGTGTGATTGTCCATTTAGGCAGAAAGCTAGTTCCACTTCACCTCTTCTTCTTCTCAAGTGTGCACACGGTTGGAAGAGCCAAACAAACCTCATTATTTCCCTCTTCAAACCGTAAGCAACACGGAGGTAAGGTAACCTCCTTTCCCTTCATATTTCTCTCCACCTCCCACGGTTCTAATGAATTGTTCCCTCTTGCATGTGACTGAATCTTCGAGACTGCCAAGGAAGGACTTTATTCTTAAGTCCAGACTTTTATTTTCTTGCATGCAAGCCAAGAACTTGCATGATCAAGTAAGTGATTTCCCATTCTTCTATCTTTGATTTCGGTTTCTAGTGGCTGAGTGAGGCTTGGTTCTAATCCTGATTTGGTTGTTGTTCTTGAACGGTGTGTTTTGGGGACTTAGGATTTTATTATGGTAATATGTTTTAATTAATGGGGATTTCCTTTAAATAATTGGTAATATGAATGAAGTTCTGACTACTAGTACCATTGATTTAGGTGAGCATAATTATTAAAGTGTTGGACTAATTTGGCTGGACTATATTTTGTATCAAACCTTGTATGAATTAAGCTTAGTTGGACATCATGTTTTAGGTCCTTCTTAGCGCACCCCTGGTCTCTTGTAGTCAAATTTGGGAATAAAATGTCATGAACTTGCTTTAATATTGAAACCCGAATTGGTGTGCTTGGGAGATGTTGGATTTTTTTCACTGTTTATGAATAAATAAAAATTATTTGAAGACAGAAATTTGTTAGTAAAAGAACCATGATAAACAAATGAGAATAAAGGGGTCTAGAGGAATGAAAACTTGATGCAACGCATAGGAATGATGTGAGATAAAATTCTGATTTGTGATGCATTTGTTTAGGTCCGCGAACTTCTAAGAAAGTGGACCGAATTGGTGATACGTTGTTTAAAAAGTTGTAAACGTCACAGGTATGTGTTAGGCGGTATTACCTGATGTGACTATTGACTAGTGTATGAATTGTGAATTGTTGCTCACATGTGCCTTATGATTATTCTGCCATAAATGATGAAATTATTCTGCCTATGGAAATGTTATGATTATGGAAATTCTGTTATGAAAAGAAAGAATGGCTTGGCAGTATGGCATCCAATGTACATGAAGTATATGCTATGAACAGATGATATATGCATGCACCGTACATCATACCGCACTTGTCTTTCTGTTTGTGTGTGACAGCATAGCATGGCATGCATGTACCAAATTCATGTTAGTCTTGAGTCTTAGAATAGTTATATATATAGGACCATGTGATTGAGCATGCATCATATAGGCATCCCTTGATATCGGGGTATGGGACACTTGGCTTCAGTCCGCTTAGGTACAGTTGGAGCCCTTCTGAGGAGCCACCCAGGGTACTCCACTGTTCTGTTAGTGATACGTGCACAGTAGTGCTATGAACGTACACTTCTGGCGTTATATACGCAATATGATATTATGTTAGTGATACGTGTACCGTAGTGCTATGAACGTACACTTCTGGCGTTATATACGCAATATGATATATGATGAAAAGGATATATGATGAAAATGATTTCATGTTTGAAGCGACTGTTTATAATTTTGTGCCTAGTTTAATACTGTTGCATTATTGGTTTTGTTGCCACACTACTGGGATTTTTCTCACCCTTTTGGGGCTGCTATTTTTATAAAATGGCAGGAGGACGTAAAAGCTTTTGAGGACTTGGATATTTGCTGTTGGTTTCTACTGTTGGGCATGCTGCTGTGATTGTATTAATTTCATGGATGACTGTACTAATTGTGAATGTTTAAATATTAGTGAACTATGTTTGCATTCTGTTTTAAGACTTTTAAGAACAGCAAGTGTTTTGAAATGGATTTCAGAAACGTTTTTATGAAAACTGATTCCTGTTTTGAAAGCTAAGTTAAAACTGTTTGTGCGAGCATTTTGTAGGTTGGCGTCCCGGGGCTACGGACCTCTTATTTTCTTATAATGTATATGCACGCGTAGGCCCAGGTGTCTAGTTTCATTATATATAAACCTTTCAACGAAATTCTGAAAGCTCGATTTATTATGATTTTTGCAAGTCAGGTCGTTTGATATCAATTCACTGATTTTAGCTCTCGCCTTACGAGTTATGTTTCGAGGGCAAACGACCTTCAAATTACTATTATTTTATATGAACGCGAAGCCCCAGATGTCTAGTTTCTAGATTACAAATAATATTTTTCTGAATCGTTGAAATGAATTTTATACGAATTTTTAAAGACAGCAAGGTCTGCCAAGAAAGTTATACTTTCAGTAGTTGAGAAATTTTGAACGTATACTCTGATTTTTGTGACGAACCCGATTTCAATTACAAGTTTTTAATTGGCATTGTAAAAGTGATTTTCAGTCTCTAAAATATGATTAAAGAACTCTAATCCGCTTAGCAAACAACTCCCTTGGATGCATACAAGGGAGGGTGTTTAGGATCAATTATGGAATTCTTTCCTAATTTCACATAATTAATTAATTAACTTCCTTAATTAACGGTGCGGGTTCTTACAATTATCAAACCCTAACCCATCATAAAACACTTAATAAAATAACTTCCAACCGTCAAAATTTAGATGTAATATCTTACTAAGCTTTCTTGTGAACTAGGCAACACTTTCCATGCAAATACTTGTCAAAACCCTAACTTTCTCTCTCTAGATGAACAGTACCAGCCCTCAAGAAAAGAAAAAAAGAGGATTTAGGTTCACAAGACCAAAAAGTTATAACTTTTGTGTAATAGGTTTTATCTAAAAATGCCTAAAACCACTTGAACTCTCTTGCTCTTTCTCTCACCATGCTCACGACCTCAAGGAGAAAGGAAAAAGAAGAAGTGTGCATGGGATACTTGGAAGAAGAAAGATGAGTACTTAAGTCTTGAAAAATATCTTAAAAGTTGCTAACTTTAAAATTTTCTAACTTTGCAACTTGCTAAAATTCTATTGGTTCCTTAATTTTCCACACACTTTGTCATCATCTTAGCCACCTCACATGTAGAAAATGACTAAGCTTGCTTACTTGGACAATTTAACACCTTTAGACTTTCAAACTTTCCAATCATTGGTCCATTTGTTCAAGACTAGTCAACCTTGATTCTAATTGGTTGGTCAATAGTGAGTTTGACTTTTAATAATATTTAACATACAAGATCACAAAGAATCAATCATACATAAAAAATCATGTAAATAATTCACAAAGTTAACTTGTGTTACTAACTTAACAACTTTATATTCATCTTTGACCTAAACCAATTTCCATTGGTTTATTAATTTTTCTTACTTTGACCTATTTTTAGAAATTAATCTAGACATTGTTTAATCACAATAAGATCACTTTGAATCCATGAAATTAACTATAAAATTTAATTGCATCATTAAAATCAACTTTTGACTTAACCTTGGTCAATTACCAAAGTAATCCTGACTTTTCACATTATGACATCTATGTCCCCACATATACCATATACTTATTTTAGGGTCTTATTAGACTTATTTGGCATGAATTGTATTCTTAATCTATTTATCATGTCAATTACATGATTTACCGTTTACCGTTTCTTTGAATACATGTTTAAATTCCACTTAAACACTTGGTTAATCCACTATCATCTATTTGACAGTGAGTTGTTATAGTAATCCTATTTACTCACATTTGGTATAAGATTTCTAAATTTTTTTCCAAGAATATAATTTTCTCGAAATTGGGTCTGTTTGATTGTGTTCTGGTTTTTTTGTTCTTAAAACTGTTTTGTAAACTAGTGATGGAAACAAATGTTTTCTATATTTTTTTCTTTTTAAAAGTTAAAAATCAAAACAAAAAACAAAAACACCTCAGATATGTTCTCTAAATTTGATTCTAAAAACAAAAAAACAGTTATAGTTCTCAAAACTTTTTTACAAAACAGGTCTTACCAAACGAGTTTTTTTGTTTTTTGTTCTGAAAACTAAAAACACTAATCAAACATAGCCTTAGTTTTGTGTACAGTTCTTCTTCCAAAATGCCATACATCTGTTAGAATCTGTTAATATTTACACTATTTTTAAAAACTATTCACCAATTCTTAGAATCTCGGATGTTGGAAAAAATTTACACTCTTTTAGGGACAAAAATCTGTTAATATTTGACCTATCAAATAATTTTTTGATAACATTCCTAAAAAAATAATTTTTTTATCATATTATTAAGAATCATGATTTCAAAACATGAAAAAAATTATTTCTACCAAACATCCTTTAAGAATATTTTTTCCTGTATTTAAATATAACTACATAGAGAGAGGGGGATATGGATAAAATTTAGGACAACGTGAACTAGAGAGGGAAGTTTAAAGATTACATAATGTTCACGTGGCAAAACAAGGTAGGTTGAATGTGTGATGCGTAGAAAAGAACCTGAGTAGTGAGTACTTGTACAGCTACACCTTCGACTACAACTATTTCAGCGCCTACCTACCAACCAAACCACGATCAAGGAAGGTCCCCATCACAATCACAAGCAAACAAACAAAACTATACAAAAAAAAACTCCAAAATTTTCCCGAGAAAATCCCTCAAAAACTTTTTTCTTTCTTTCTTCTTTTTGCATCATACTTTTCTCCTTCCTTTCCCAGCACTTAAAAAGAAGGGTGCAATCAAAACACTGAAAAAACAACAGCAACAAGAAGGACCCTTTTGGTGTGAGAGAGAAACAATTAAAATGATCATATGAGAGAAAGATTAAAGCATGCTTTGTCGGCCATTAAAGCTTCAACCAAAAAAGACCCTTCACACTCATCATTCATTCCCTTTCACCACACCCCGCAACTTGCAGATAGAAAGCCACTCCACGCACATGAATATTCATTTTCTGATTCATTGAACTTTGAGTATTCTTTCTGAATGTTTATTAGACCCTGAAAAAAAGGGGGTTTGGATTTTTGTGTTCAAATTCTTGGCTTTTCATGTTTTAGATCGAAGATCCCCACTTTTCACGCCAAAAGGTGAGGTGGGTATATTCTATTTTTGGCTAAAGTTTCATTAACTCCATGATTCTTCTCAATTTTCCTTCACAAGGAATTATTGATCCCATGGGGTGGACTTGCTGCTTTTGTTATTATCTCTTTTTTGATGAGTGATGGTGGGCTTTGAAAGGTATGTTATGTTATTTTATGGCTTTTTTTTTTTTTTTTTTTTTTTTTTCCGATTTTGAATCGTGACTTTCTGTGTAATATACATGTGTACTTTGCTTTTTCTTTGAACTGATTCATTAAAATTCTAGGAATGGCATTTGGAATTGTTAATATGACTTTAAGTTCATTTGGCGTCCTGAAACTCTGAATTTTGAAATTTTGTTAAATATCAAGGTTACCAAAATTTTTCTGGTTTCCCTCGGGGAAGGAAAAAAAAGAGAACATTTGGATTATGCAAGTGACTAATTCATTGTTTGCTTGTACGTGCAGGTGCTGAATATTAAGATGTCTGGGAATATCAAGGAGGGGAGAGCTTTCGCAAAAGGGTATTCTGTTATTTTACTACTATTGACTTTTCTTCTTTGTAGCATAGAGGGGTTGAACACTGAGGGGAAAATCCTCCTAGAGCTTAAGAATGGTCTTCAAGATAAATTTAATCTTTTGGGAAATTGGAAGTCTACAGATGAAACCCCATGTGGATGGATAGGTATAAATTGCACTTTTGAATATAGTGATAATAATCAAAATAATCCGGTGGTCATGTCTCTTAATTTGAGTTCAATGGGTCTTTCTGGAGCTCTAAATACTAGCATTGGGGGTCTGTCCCATCTAACTTATCTCAATCTTGCTTACAATGATCTGACTGGTAATATCCCTAAAGAGATTGCTGAGTGCTTGAGTTTGGAATATCTTTATTTGAACAATAATCAATTAGAGGGACCAATTCCTGCTGAATTGGGTAAGCTGTCTGTTTTGAGAAATTTGAATATTTGCAACAACAAACTTTCTGGTGTTCTTCCAGATGAGTTTGGAAACTTGTCTTCATTGGTGGAGTTAGTGGCCTATAGCAACTTTCTCGTTGGGCCCCTGCCTAATTCCATTGGAAATCTTAAGAATCTTGAAACTTTCAGAGCTGGGGCAAATAACATTACTGGTAGCTTGCCAAAGGAAATTTGGGGATGTAAGAGCTTGGTATACCTTGGCCTTGCCCAAAATCAGATAGGAGGGGAGCTGCCAAGCGAGATTGGGATGCTTGACAGCTTAAAAGAACTGATTTTATGGGAAAACCAGTTATCTGGGCTTATTCCTAAAGAGGTTGCGAATTGTAGCAGTCTTGAGACCCTTGCTTTATATGGGAATGATCTTGTTGGACCTATACCTCGGGGGATTGGGAACCTCAAATCATTGAAGAAGTTGTATCTTTACAGAAATAAGTTGAATGGAACCATTCCAAGGGAAATTGGAAATCTTTCTTCAGGTTTACAAATTGATTTCTCAGAGAACTCTTTAGTAGGTGATGTTCCTTCCGAGTTGAGCAAAATAAGTGGTCTAAGTTTGCTCTTTCTCTTTGAGAACCAGCTAACTGGTGTTATACCAAATGAGTTTAGTAGCTTGAAAAACCTCACAAAGCTGGACCTGTCAATGAATCATCTTACAGGTCCAATTCCAATTGGCTTCCAATATTTGACTCAAATGTATCAGTTGCAACTTTTTGATAACTCCTTAAGTGGTATTATTCCTCAGGGACTTGGACTTCATAGTCCTCTTTGGGTGGTTGATTTTTCTGACAACAACTTGACAGGAGGCATACCTCCTCATCTATGCTTGAATTCTCGCTTGATGTTGTTGAATCTGGCAGCTAATCAGCTTTATGGAAATATACCTTCAGGGATATTGAAATGTGAATCATTGGCACAGTTGCTGTTGGTTGGAAACAGGCTTACTGGTGGCTTCCCTTCAGAATTGTGTAAACTGGTGAACTTTACTGCCATTGAGTTGAATGAGAACAGGTTCAGTGGTCCAATTCCTACTGAGATTGGGAACTGCCACAATTTGCAAAGGCTTCATATTGCAAACAATTACTTCACATTGGAGTTTCCTAAGGAAATAGGAAATCTTTCTCAATTGGTCACCTTTAATGTTTCATCAAATCTTTTCACTGGAAGAATCCCACCTGAAATTTTTTGGTGCAAAAGTCTCCAGCGGCTTGATCTCAGTCAGAATAGCTTTACTGGTTCCTTGCCAAATGAGCTTGGGACACTTCAGCATTTGGAGATTCTCAAGCTCTCAGACAATAAACTGTCTGGATATATTCCTGCAGCATTAGGTAATCTGTCTCATTTGAACTGGTTGCAGATGGATGGCAATATGTTTTTTGGTGAAATACCTCCTCAGTTGGGTTCTCTTTCAAGCTTACAGATTGCAATGGATCTCAGTTATAATAATCTTTCTGGAAGAATACCATCTCAGCTTGGCAATCTCAATATGCTTGAATATCTCCTTCTCAATAACAATCATTTGGATGGCGAAATTCCCAGCACATTTGACGATCTTTCAAGCTTGCTCGGGTGTAATTTCTCATATAATAACCTCTCTGGACCTTTACCTTCCACTAAAATTTTCCAAAATATGGCTGTAAGCAGCTTTATTGGTGGTAACAAAGGCCTCTGTGGTGCACCTCTCAGTGACTGCAACACCAATCCAGCTTCCCACACTCTTCCTCCCGTGAAAAGTGTTGATTCTACACGTGGTAAAATTGTAATGATAACTGCAGCTGCTGTTGGTGGTGTTTCTCTCATTTTAATTTTAGTTATTTTATATATTATGAGACGTCCTAGGGAGTCTGTAGATTCCTTTCGAGACACTGAGACTCCCTCCCCAGATTCAGATATATATTTTCCTCCAAAGGAAGGTTACACATTCCAAGATCTAGTTGAAGCTACAAAAAGATTTCATGAAAGTTATGTTATTGGTAGGGGAGCATGTGGAACAGTTTATAAGGCAGTCATGAAATCTGGTAAGACTATTGCTGTTAAGAAGTTAGCATCTAACAGGGAGGGGAACAACATTGACAATAGTTTCAGGGCTGAAGTATTGACTCTTGGAAGGATAAGGCATCGAAATATAGTGAAGTTGTATGGGTTTTGCTATCACCAGGGTTCCAATCTCCTACTTTATGAGTACATGGAAAGGGGTAGCTTAGGTGAACTACTGCATGGTTCTGCAACTAATTTGGAATGGCCAATTCGGTTCATGATTGCTCTTGGAGCTGCTGAGGGTCTTGCCTACTTGCATCATGACTGCAAACCAAAGATTATTCACCGTGATATAAAATCTAATAACATTCTCCTTGATGAAAATTTTGAGGCCCATGTTGGTGATTTCGGTTTGGCAAAAGTGATTGACATGCCCCAGTCAAAATCAATGTCTGCAGTTGCTGGATCTTATGGATATATTGCTCCTGGTAAGCTCCTAATTTTATAATTAGTTGATTAAGCATAAACTTTCTCGTTTACGTTATGTCTTGTTTTGTCATTGTAGATCGTCTTATTGTCATTCCTGTCTTATAGCTTAGGATGATTTGTAGTTTCACTTCGTGTTTATAAACGATATTCTTTTTTTGTTTTCAAATTTTGAAGAAATTGAGTTTTGTACATTAAGCAGTATCGAAATTGCTTTTTCTGACCATAGATTTTGTTGGTTTAAAAGGAGAGTATCTTATATTGTTAAAATGGATTTGTTGATAGTGATCCTTATCAACAACTTGCCAAAGCCTTATTCTCTATTAGTATTTGGCCTTTAATGCCTATGAGTTTAGGTTACTTTCATTCAGTTATAATTCTAATATTGACTTACTTTGTCAATTATTTTATGTCTTTTTCACGATCCTGCAATTTATAGATAGATATATTAATACATGTCAAGCACATTGGTACAGGGGTTGAAGCAGTGATTATTAGAAGAAATCAAACTTACACATGACCCTGTGATGTACCATTATATTATTCATATATGCATATTTTCAGAGTTAATTTTGTATCCCCTTAAAATTATGATGAAAAATCCAGAGATACGTTTTCAAGGGGTTTTTGATATAAATCCTCATTTTTAAAACTTTATTACTTGTTGATTATTGTTTAGTGAACCACTTTATCCTGCATGGCAGAATATGCATATACCATGAAGGTCACAGAAAAGTGTGACATATATAGTTATGGTGTTGTGCTTTTGGAATTGCTAACGGGAAAGTCTCCAGTTCAGCCGTTGGAGCAAGGAGGTGACCTTGTCACATGGGTGAGAAACCATATTCGAAACCATAATAATACATTGACATCAGAGATACTTGACAATCGTGTGGATCTTCAAGACCAAACCACTATGAATCACATGCTCACTGTTTTGAAACTTGCTTTACTGTGCACAAGTGTGTCTCCTTCTAAGAGGCCATCAATGCGGGAAGTTGTTTTGATGCTTATTGATTCGAATGAGAGAGAAGGAAACTTAACACTGACTCAAACCTCACAATGATCTTCCTTCCAAAGATGACACATGAAAGTATGCAACTTCTCTTTGGGATTTTGTTAACAGATATGATTTTTTTTCTGTTTATTTTTCCAAGTATTATTTTCCACAAGAGAAAGTAGAAGATGATTCTTGTACATTTTCACTCCATTATGCCACTAGACTTGACTGTTTTACTTTATACTAGTGTATGTTATTTATTTCACGTCTCTGTATTTTCTTTTGGAATTCAGTATTGTAACTTTATTGTACAGTTGGCTATTGACATTGTGTATCATGGAGGTTATGCTTGTTGTAGAGAAGGATAATATATAAGTTGTTCATATAACATGGTGTATGTTTCAAGTATTATTATTTAACTATTATAATTATGAGAAAAATATTTGTCATTTTAAAGAATACAAATTTGTGTTATTTTAACTTAAACTATTATGTTTTATTGCATATTTAGTGATTTTTATATTCTCTTTTCTCCACAAAATTTGAAGGAGAAAGAAAATGAGAGTATTGTGGAGGATAGATAACATAAAAAAAAACTACCAAAATATAGTAATTTTACTTAAAATGATATCAACTTGTGTCCTTTAAAATAACAATATTTTTCCTCATAAATTGTTCGCATTTTGACATATTTTAATTTATTTTGTTTGATTGAATTGGGAGCCGTGTCTAGAATTTTAAGATATCATTTGAAAGGTATTGTTTGGATACAGATTTTACCGATGGAACTTCTTTGGATTTGAATTTTAAGTTAATATACTTCGTCAAATTGCTATAGTTTTAACATGCAATGTACTTCATGGATGCTGGAGACGCTATTTATTAAAATCGCAAATTAAATTTCTGAAAAGCATATATGTAATGCAATTACTGGAATTTATACTGATAGATCAACAAAGAAAACGTTTCTTAATTGGGTGATGCAAGTAAAACAATTTAGTCATAACTACACATAATGATGTGTGTGCATACGAAAGACGAAAACTGTTTTCTAGAATAGTGCGCTTGCTTGGCAATGTAGAATTCCATGCATCTTAAAAGCCAGTGTTTTAAAAGCCGGCCGGGTCGACCCGGGACTCGGTGACTCGGTGGGTTCTCCGGTTCGAGCGGGTAGTTAGACCGGTTATGCAGTCAACTCGGATTGGACTGGTTGACCCGGCCGAAACCCGACGACCCGGCGACTCGGTTGACTCGGGTTAAACCGGTTTTTTCTTTTTTTTTGGTAAATTTTTTTATTGTTGATAAGAACTCTTGAATTAAATCATATTCATATTTTATGATGAATATGATTAAAAGTAAGGTGAAAATAATAAGGTATTTTAGATTAGTGTAGTTCATTTATGTAATTTAGTTGCATCTTATAATGATCTCATGAAGTTAAGTGGTGATAAACACTGATGGTCTCATGATCTCATCTCAAAGGTCTAGAGTTAGAAACTTAGAAGTATATAATATTTGCTATCATTGAAAACTAATTTATTTTTTGAAGCTCATAGATAGTTTTCTTATGTGAATTTTTATTAATATAAGTAATATTTTTATATTTTTAATATGTGAACAGTAAAACTGGTTCAATCCAGTTGAACCCGGTTGAACCAGTGACCCAGTACCTTAACCGGTTCGATGACCGGTCCGAGTTTTAAAACACTGTTAAAAAGCAATTTTAAGTTTTCTACAAGTGGATGTCTGTCTGTCTTTACTTCATTTTCGCCCACCCGGCGATGCTTTTCTATGTGCTTTAGTCAATATGCTTTCAATTGAAGCAAAAGCAACATATTTTTAACGAAAACTTCATGGACCGCTTTCATTTTAATAGTCAAATCAAAACATTTATTAATATTTTTATAGTGTAATTATATTAACATCTTTATAAAATAATTATGAATCCTTTTGGTCTGTTTTGTCTGATTTACCACCAAAATCTTGTTTGTATATATATATATATATATCTTGGGAAAAATGTTTGTCATTTCAAATGACAGAAAGTTATGTCATTTTAAGAGAGATACAGACACAGAAAATTTGAATTTTAAATTAAAAAAAAATCACTCATTTTCTCTCTCCCATGATTTCCGTTTTTCTGTGTCTATCTCTCTTCAAAAATGACATAACTTTTTTCATTTAAAATGACAAACACCAAACCCACATATCTTCTATTCTTTTCTTTCTTACCTAAATAAAAAGAATTTCTTGTTTTTTTCCTAAAATTTTGGTTGGTCTATTTGTTCTGAATAAAAACAATAACCTATTCTTCATATTTTCTTAGGACTCATTTTTTTAATTGTTGCAGAAATATCATATAAAAATCATCAATATAATATTTATCAAATAGGTTTAAGTTGTTGTGCTGAATTGATTGTATTGCATGTTATCAGAGTCTTTATAATTAGGGGTAACAATTTTTAACACGGCTCGCTAATATGACACGAACACAAAAGGAAAAATTCCTGTTTGAGTCTATTCATTTTCAAATTCATGTCGTGTTAGTGTTGGCAAAATCTAACCCAGAAAAATTCATGTTGTGTTAGGTGTCAACCAGTGAATCCGAAATGGACCCGCATTAATCTTTTTATAGATTATTCGTGTCGTGTCGTAAAGAGGTTATTTGTGTTTTATTTAAGGTTGTGTATGGGTCAGGTCGGGTTTTTGTGCCGATCAGACCCAACTTGATTTTATAGGTCAGGTATTTTGACCCGACCCGATTTAATTTTGTCCAAGTCAAGTCTGACTCAATTTGAATTTTTTTGAACTGCAAATAATTGCTCAATCTTCAATTCCCACTCCAAATAGGCCTCGGGATCATTTTTCCCTTTGAAAGGTGGTATGTTCAGCTTCACTCCCTTAATTATATCCTCTCTAGCAACATCCTCATTATCTCTTCTCCTTCTATCAACCCTTCTTCTACCTCCATCATCATCATGAGTCCCTTGATTTTCTAAGTGCTCAATTCTCTCAAATAAGTCCTCTGTTTGCTCCCTCATCATCGTTTGCATTCGATCCATAATGGCATCGATTAGCAACCTGTTTTCTCTCTCAGGAGGAGGGCTACCTTCACCACCCGTACTTGCCATAATTCAAGAAAAAGAAAAAAAAAAGTGAAAAGCAATAGGACCTCACCACACCTCTCACGTGTTTACACTCTTAGAGATGTATCACTCGTATTTGTTGCTCTCTATTAGGCTTTTGTATAAAATGCTCTCTTGCCTTTTACCACTCAATAGCTCTCTTTAAGTTCTTAATAGAATCTCCAAGAACACTCAAGAGTACTACAACATAGAACTCAACAAAATAGTGGTGACACGAACCATAGATTGAAAAGATGTCAAAAGAGACAAGACAAAGAAGAACAGGTTAAAAGAAAGATTTGAGGAAAACTCTTATGACTTGATTCAAAAAGGTGGTGTGTATTTTGAGCTAAATAACAAGTTGCTATATTTTTTTTTTAACTTGAAACTTTTTTTTTTAAAATTTTGCCTTACTGCAGCAAACTAAATTTTCAACAGCAATCACTTTTTTTTTAACACGGGATGCCTCTAATAATTGAAATTTGTAATTTTGAAATGAAACATGAAATTGGAGTAATTGAGAACGAAACTAGACAAAATTCTCAACAAAACAAGCTATTAATTAACACACTAACAACATACTACTCAAGACACACGAATTGAAAGGATTAAAGTTCATGAACAATGATGAACATGGATGAACACCAAGAACGCAACTACAGAAATGTATGAACTGAACAAGAAATTGGAAGAAAGAACAAATTAGGGAATAAACACAAAGGTTGAAACAAAATTACACAACTCAAATTTAGAAAACAATTTTTAGGGTAAAAGTGTTACCATGAATTTAACTTCATTCCAAACCTAGAACTGAGCTCTGATACCAAATGATATGAACCTCAAGAGAAGTGGCCGGATTGGATCAACTAGGAATGGAATTTATGCCCAAAATACAGCCTCCAATGCGTCCTGGCTAAAAAATGATCATATTTCACGCTGCACAACTCGGAATTGAGTGATTGCAAAACGAGGTGAAAGAGCACGTTTCAAAACGCGAAATAGACCCAAGAATCACCGAAAATGGACAAGTGGGTCGCGAGATCTGATCTGAGGTAGGGTAAAATGAAAATCGATGATGTAGGGTTTAGCGTTGATTTTGTTGGACTTTTGGGAATGAAAAAAAATAGAAAAAGAAATTAAAACAAGAAACAAGGGTAGGAAGGCGCCACAATCCAAGGATTGATAAGCCTATGAACGCCACAAGGTTAAGAACCCTTGATAAGTTCAGAGATTCTCAAAAGAACCCAAGAGAACTAGTCTCACCAAAATAGGTTAACTTGATATTCAAAATCTGGTTACAAGAGTTGTATCCTCCTTTATTTATACTTGGAACATCCCTCCAAGAATAGGAAAAGACTAGCAAATGAAAAGACACTAATCATCCCCACTAAGCATTTATTACATTGATGACATTAACTAAATTCTGATTGGGATATGGCTTGGACTTGATGTCTTCATGATTAGTCCACATTTGCAGAATTAGCCCACTAAGAGCTTCCGTAAACTTCTTGGCCTTTGGCCTTGTGATTGGCCCATTTGGCAATTGCAATGGATCATTTGGCATTGTCTCCTTATTCATATCAGTGATGCCACCTCCTATGTCTCATCATTTAGTGGATGTTCTTGGATTGTGCCCAGTTGTGATATGATTTTGTATGTTATATTGTTCATATATGTATTATTGCAGGCACATTGAGTGAGCCACTTGACGGAGTGACCTTCCGGTGCCATTGGTTTACTGAGATATATATATATATATATATATATATATATCTCACCCCTCTTTGGGGCACCATTTCAGGTTCAGGTGAGCACATTGGAGCTTCGAGTAAGAAGCCCACCTAGTGGCAGAGATATATTTTGGTGCATAAGATTCATATGTCATTTTGGATTATTTGTATATATATATATATATATATATATATATATATATATATATATATATTGACATTCATTGTGTAGAGGACTTAGTATATGAACATGGTATTGCATGTTGCAACTCCCCAATTTCATAATCGGATTGTTAACTTACATATGGTACTTTTAAGCGCATGAGTAATTACTTTAGCGGTAGACTTTATTTGCATTTCACCATTACCTAGTGTAATAGGTGAGTAAACTTTTTCTTTTCTTTCTAAATATATTGCCACGCTTAATTCATTATTCAATCTTTTATTATTATCTGTACAGTCCCATACCTGTACAATGTTCTTAATTATTTTCCATAACTCAAAAATATTAATCATAATATTTAACGTAATTA